ACTGACTTGATCGTCGAAGTGCTCACCTTTTTGTGCAGGTCCGCCCAAGTGTTCAGGTCGGTCCGGAGGCCGAGTTCGAGCTACAATCAGGAACACACTGTTGTGCACATCTTTGCATAAACAAGGTCTATAAACTTTAAAAAGTATTAAATTTAAAAACAATGTCTAGTAGATGAGAAAAATACTTTTCTTAACTTCAGGAGGCTTAATTCTAGTTCGTAAGAACTAAATGCCTCTTCTTTTTTTTTTTTTAAGCAAAAAAGAAAGAAACGAACAAACTCATAATCGAACCGGGGAAAATAAATGATAAATGTTTGATTTTTCATGACAAAACTTGTCTCATCAAGATAGAAAAAATACCCTCAAAGGATAGGACACACATGATTATTTGTTCTAGTGGGTATAATAATCAAAAGCTAAAACAAACAAACAAGAAAAAACCAAACTTTTTTTGTAATGGTGGGGAAAAAGAGGACAAACAAAACATCACCACAAACATTTTTGTAATTTTTCTAAACCTTATTTGGGAAGCCAAAACCTGCCCTAAATAACCATTCAATGGGGTAGTTCCACGTGGCTTTTTCTTCTTTTTCCTTTTTTTTTAAAAAAAAAATACTAATTGGCATTTTGTGTGCTCTCACTCTATACTCATTATTTCATCCTCTATTTTCTTTATTATTCTTTGTGCCATTGTCTATTTATTTGGATAGGAATTTGTAATTTTTGAGTTGTAATTCTAGGTCTATGGTTTGATATTCTTTAAAGTTTTCTTTGATTTTAATATTTTTTACATGTAGTATAAAATATGGTTATAATGAGAATCGTATAAAAATTTATTATATAAAATCGAGTATGGTAAGAAATAAAAAAAATAGATCATTTGAGAGTCGACACTCAAACACTTAAGATTCAACCACACATGTTTAAAACTAATCTAACTACAAAAGTGTAGTTAACTGATCTAATTTTATTTACGTTTTTTTCTTCGGATAATTGTTGCAAGTCTTTTGAGGAGGTAATTTTTTAAGATTTAGAATCTAAAATGTTAGGTGAAAAATAAAATCCTGTAACCTATAAAAAATTGTTAATAATATATTAAGACTTTTAATTATTTGGCCCAATATGAATAATTAATTAAAGATTTCAATCCTCTCATTTCAAAATAACTTTGTAAAAAGAAGAAAAAAGATCACTCCATAACATTAATTTAATATATATCTTTAAAAGTGTCTCTAACTTTTCATATAATGGGAGTTTCATTTTTTATATATATTTATATTTTTTATTTTAAATTTTGTGCTGTACTAAAAGTTACATATTTATTACGAAATTAAGTACCGGAAATTCATTACAATATTCTAGGGTTGCGTTCACCCTTGTTTTTGAACCTGACGAAGGCTTCAGCTGAACCAATAATGGGCCTCTAAATGGGCCGAAAATAATGGGCCTCTAAATGGGCCGAAAATAATGGGCCTAATTTTATTTTGTTTCATTTATGATTTTTTTTTTTTTTACATCGTTAGGTCAGAAATGGTAAAAATGTAGGAAAATTTGAAGGACTTGCTATATTTACACTATCGCAATAAAAAAGAATGGCAAAAATATAGCRTCGTGGAATCTATAATTTTATTTCGACAAATTTATGTCTAACACAAAAGATAGGATTGTTTCAACAGATAAATCAAAAATTAAAGAGTATAATTGTTGAAATATACAACTGATTTTCATATATTTGTAATCATATAGACGTATACTATATTATGTTTAGTCATCAGATTTGACAGGTGCAGGATTTTACTTTATATTTATAAAAGATTTGACAGGCGCAAGATTTTACTTTATATTTATATTTTGATTTATTTTAGATTCATTCCTCAATCTCGTTAAATTCATTATCGGTAATTTCCCAAAAAAAAAAAACAAAAACAAAAACAAAATCATCGTTAAATTATCTAAATAAATTATAATCTTTATATTTTTATATTTAAAATTTATTAATATATGTATTTAATTTGATTTAAGCTTCTTCACTTCTGCTTATTTTCTATTTTTCTTAACATTTTGGCAAGGGCCCTCGAGGATATAGCACAAACCTCAATTAGTTAATTGTAAATATAACAGCCACTCCTTTTGTTTGCAAACATATCAAAACACGAGAGTAGGGTTGGCAACGGGGCGGGGCGGGTCCCCAAAAATTGGAGGGTGGAGAATCCCCGGGGACCCGTCCCCGACCTCTTTTTTAAAATTGTTCTTTCAATTTAATTAAAAATGAAACTTTAATCCAATAATTCAAACCTCAAAGTTTGAAGTTATACCATCTGAAATTTTGAAAGAGAGTTTTCATATGGAACTTGAAGTATTGGGGTTGATGGGCTTTGAGGAATTATAAAAGTAATATAAAAATTAATAAAAGTTATTATTATTGATTTATATATATATATATATATATATATATAAAATTTAATAAAAAATTAAACATGGAGGTGTTGGGACAGGGCGGGGGATCGATCCCTGTCCCCGCCAAGGAACCCGATTGGGATCCCCTATTTGACCCCGCCCCCAATCAAACCGGGAAATCCCCAACCCAATCGGGTAGGGTACCCACGGGAATCGAGTCCCACGGATATTTTTGCCAAAAGTGTAGCTCAAATGAAAAAAGAAGAAAAATCAATATATTTGGTAGATACGAAATATATAATTTATATTAGGTATAACAGTTCTTTTAGTACAACAAATAAGGATGGGATAAGGATGGGAGTGGACGATTCAAACTCATGACCTGTAGATCATATAGATCGCATATCAGGTGTAACATTGCATCTCAAATGAAGATTATCATTAATATATTTGGTGCACACTAATATATTTCATACAAAAAATAAAAATCTATTTTAAAAAAATTTGTCACAAGTATGATACTTTTTCCAGGTTTTGGTTCAAATTTTCACTCCTACATATGTTTGTAATAAAAAAATATATATATACTTGATTTTGTTATTTTTAAAACTTTTACACAAACAAAAAAACAATTACCAAATTTTCACTCCTACATATGTTTGTAATAAAAAAATATATATATACTTGATTTTGTTATTTTTAAAACTTTTACACAAATAAAAAAACAATTACAACATATTTATATCTCTCAAAATTTGGAAACGAGAAACCAAGAAATGTTTCACCTAAAATTTCTATTATACCTTGTAATATGGTCTATCCAACATTCATAGCAAAAATAACGAGACATTCTTGAACTCAAAATAAAAAGGATATTCAACATTAAAATGAAGTTTTGAAATAGTCATAAAACAACTGAAATTCATGCCAAAATAGCTTAAAATTAACCTAAAACACCAACCATTTTTTCAATGCCCTGCTTATAAAGGGATAACAAACAACATAAATTTACAAATGGTTTCTTCTTTTTCTTTTTGTTTGTAATTCCAGTAGTTTCTAAGTTTCAACTAATACCATGTCTCTAGTCTCATGACACATTCTCTCGTCTATCTAAACTTTGAAGTAAGTTCTGAGAGACAGCATATGTTTTTGAAGTACTATGCTTCTAATCTTAGTCATAGGCAAAAATCAGGAAAAAAAATATATCAAATACCATTGATCATAAAGAAAGTACAGCTAAAGCATTTGGCACCATTTACTATCAGAGAACAGAATAAATAGAAAATAAGGTTAACATAAGAGAGAGCCCAAAACCGCGTAATTTTTTCCTAGAAAGAAAGGCTTCTGTTACTCAAAACTGGCGCCTTGGCGGCCTTGCTTCTGCTTGTGTTACTCGGATGGTTCTTCCACTCAACTCCTGAAATGTGTACATTTATATTTAGATAGTTGATTCTGAATCCTACTTCATCATAAAGCAATGGATCTATACCAAGACAAATAGGAACAACAACAAAGACATCAATTTCAGCTTCATAAACCGTTAAAAGCATCCACGAAGGAAACAAGAGAAGCCGATCATTTAGAGTCGCCTGGGAATGGATTGAAAACTACTCGGGGTAATGCCAATTACGAAGTTAGAGACTCGGGGTAATGCCAATTACGAAGGTTGGCGACTCAAAATCATGTTTGAAATAAACAACATAATTTCATGCTCATAACACTCAGCTCTTAGATGGCATCTATCTATTTTCTGATTCAGTAAGCAAGATTGTAGTGGCTATACATTCAATTGGACATGAGGCAGCATATCAAGATCTTTTGTAAACAAATGCAGAACTGACATAAAGTGCATAAAAAGGAAGAGCCAGTGTGAACTTACAACTCCATTCAAGGCCTCAATGGCATTGTTAACTTCCACCGCAGAACTATAAGTTACAAAACCGAAGCCCCTAGATCTTCCGCTGTCCCGGTCGCAAACTACTTTTGCTTCAACAACATTTCCATGTTCCCTAAACAAGTTCCCCAGTGCAAAATCATCGACACCCCAAGCAAGATTACTCACATGAATACGATTGGGATTACTGAAGTTTGAAGCATTTCTGGACCCTGTGAAAGAGAAATTATCCTTTTTTGGTGGAGGGGGCCCATAATTTACCCTCAATGCTCTACCATCGAGTTCCTGTAAGAGGTTATAATCAGGAATCATCTATTAAAAGAAAATACAATAAATCTGTTTTTAAATAAAATCAAATATGTAGTACGTCACTGGATCAGAAAGGCAAATCTATGGAACTTTTAGCCCTAAATTAAATTCGTTCCTGAAGAAAGACCATGAAAGCAGATAAACCCTACAGAAATTTTTCCCCACAAAATAAGATCGTGCAACTCACTAGGATTGGTTCTTTGTAACAACAAACATAAAGTTTGTTCGTCCAAAATTTAGTGTATAGCATTTGAGGCAGTAATATCATGGGAAAGATGAATCTGTTATTTGGGAAACAGCAATTGAATTTCCAAATAGAAAGTGAAGCACAAACAAAAGCAGCGTCGCAGAGTATTAACTATTAAGTTGGTGTTGATGCAAGTATAGCCACTTACATAGCCATTAAATTGTTCAGCAGCTGCTTCGACGGCATCAGCATTCGACATCGTGACAAAACCAAATCCCCTGCTTCGTCCTGTCGTCTTGTCGTAAATTACCTTAAAAAAACACCATTAAATTAAGAAAATTAGGGCAAGCAAATGAGTCTCTTTAATCCCTCCAGCCCCTTTCATGGTCTAATGCAACTCAGAGTAAAACTAGGAATCGCGAAGTACCTCGACTCTTTCAACTTCTCCGGCGCTCTCGAACAAGCCGGCGAGCTGGGCACTGTCGACGCTGAAAGGAAGATTTCCGACGAAGAGTTTGAGGTCAGAAGCGTAGCTGCGGTCGTCCCCACTGTCCTCAAGGACGTCTTCCTCCTGGTCGAAATCGGAAGAGACGGCGACATTTCTGATGAACCGAGAAGAGAAGGCCGGAGAAGGCCTATCAGAACGAACGGCGAAAGCAGAAATGGAAATGGAGTTGGAAAGAAGGCGGATTGAAGAGGGATTGAGAGAGAACAATTTGATTCTAGGGTTCGAAAGGGATAGGGTTTTGGGGGTTAGAGATGAGAGAGCAAGGGAAGTTGCAGAGGCAGTCATGGCTTCCGAGTTTCGAGATAAGGTTGGAGGAGCCTCGATGAAGAGAAGCTATGTATTTATAGCCGATTTCTTTTCTCCCCACTTTTTGAGAAACCGGATTTTTTTAGAAAATTTGCTGTGATATTTACAATTTAGGTTTAAATACTATGACTCTTTATTTCATCTCCGTACTTTTGACATGTAATTTTTCTTTTTAATATCAGTGAGTGTTCGGATCAGCTTAGGTGCGCTCTGACTAATCTTACAGACAACCAATTAATCCTACAACATTTGATCAGGAAATAAAAAAGGTAGGTGGGCTGCACACTTTGATTCACCTACTGTCACTTTTTTTTTCTGTTCGTTTTAGTACTTTCGAAAAATCGATTCTTGTATTTTTATTTTCATCTAATCATAATTTTAGCATGATGCTTTACCTATTAAATTTGTTGAAATGTGGTCATAAATTTGTATACAATGGTTTCCACTGCGAGTAAATTTCGACATTCTTAGCCTAAAAGAAAAGCTTGAATCGAGCCATCAATAAGTCATCTCCATCTACTACACCTCTGATTCAGGTATTTGATGATTGTGACCAATATGCTGAAGACTCTCTCAATCCATGACAGCTTTTTTAGTTTAACAGGCCACGGCAATTCATTCTCAGTCCCAATACCTATATTAGGTGGATTATGATGCAGAAACGGAGGTCCGAAATTGTGGGAATATTTATTTGACCCCTGTTTCGAAATACGCTACTCCACGAGCCCTCCCTCCTTGAACTCAAAGGATTAAACCCAAATGCTCCTTGGGACTCGGACAATTCCACATAGAGCTTCAATCAATAGGTTTTGTGTTTAATTTTTGCAAATAGAGATCAAATTAGTCGCTTTTTTAAAAATACATGAAATAAAACGAATGTTTTGAAAGTATAATTATTAAAATAAACCAAGGTTAAGGTAAATCAAAATGATTTAGAGGGGATATGTTAAAATCTCATGATGACCACTACCTATGAATTAATTTCCTATATGTTTATTTGCCAACCAAATGTAATAAAATCATATAGTTGTTCCGTGAAATTAGTCTGAGTTGCACGCAAGTTGATTCAGATCCATAGTTATAAAAAAAATGAATAGAAGTTTAAAATATAGGCATTGAAATTAACATTTTCAAAATATATAGATTAAATAAATAATAATCAAAAGTACAACGGTACAATCACCTTATATTTAAACATAATTTTAAGTTGAGTGGAGTGTAGTTTCATTAAGTCCCAAGCATTTTGTTTTACTTCTTTTAGTTCCAATTAAAAAGTTATTTGATATTATACTTTTAGCGTTTAAAATTTTTATACTTGTACCAATCAAATGCTCGATAGTTAAATATTTATTACTTTCAATTCCAAATTCTCGTGTTGTTGCACCAAGAAAAGTTTTCACGTCTATGATAACAGTTTTTTTCGTATTATTTTCTTTTTTACTAGTTACCATATGAAATAATTCACTCGATGTTTTATGATTAAATAAATGTTGTTGTGCCAAAGTGAGCATAGTTCGACGGTAATTAGCATATATCTTCAACCAAGAGATTGTAAGTTCGATCTTTCATCCCCACATATTATACTTAAAAAAAGTGATGGTATTAACAACAAATTAAAAGTGACTTATTTAGAAATGTAGAAAAGTAGAACTCACCTAATTGAATATCTATAGTGCATACACAAATATTATATGTATTTAAAAAATCTTAATAATTTTATTTTTGCACTGAAAATGATTCATAAACTTTACTTTTTGTTCCCTTCTCATGTGATAGTTTGTTTAAATTCGAATAAAAATATTATATATCTGTGAAATTTTAAACTTCGTGTTATATTTAAAAATATTTATTTTTAATCCGTCGTTTAGGGGTAACAAGTGGATAGTATGAAGTCGCACGCGTCACGCATGTGAGATCCATCCGTCGTTGTCGACATCAACTTGGGGTATCGTCGTAATTGGCCACTTGGTCTGTCGTTCTGATCCGCGCAATCACAGCCCTCCACTTTTGCCAGCTCATCTTTCGTAATTTTTTATTTTATATATATATATATATATTTTTTAATTTACTACAACAAATATCTTCCCTATTTTTTTTTTTGAAACAAATATCTTCCTATTTATTTTTAGATTAGTTTCCTATTTTGGTCCAGTTCAAGTCAAATTTAAAATTAGTTTTTATAATTTTGGTTTAGTTTGATTTAATCTTATAAATGGTCTCTAACTCGCTTTTTACCTACTAAAAAAACAAATTTCCCATTATAGTTTTCACTTCTCTCTAAACTTTAAATATAATTATTCATTTATTTGTTAACAATGTTAAATATAATTATTTGATGTCATCAACTCATTGCCACATAATTAACAATGGGAAAAAAAGCATTTATACTTGTTCAATATGGTTGGGCAATCTGTAAGGTTTTATCAAACTACTTAAAATAATTTGAAACTTTTAAAACAACGTGCATCAAACATAATACTTTTAATTTTAATCCCAATCCAAATGATACAAGTTATTCCAACATTTTCAATTATTATCGTTGAAACAATTAGTTTTAATCACTACAAAATAAAAAAGACAGTTGCAAATATGACAAAAATATTTAGTAAAATAAGTAAAATAGCAACCACATTTAGTTTTTTCAAATATAGCATTTTTTTCAACGGAGGTCCAATTTTAAAATTACAATTTTACCCTAAAATATATCTGATATACATATGTAATATATCTAACTACTCATATATATCTATGATATACCACAAATATAATAATGATATACAATTGATTTACTCTAATATAACTATGATATTTACAGAAGTTCTAATATACTTACCACTGTATTATAACCATTGATTTACCATACCGATACAATATTTATGTATCTGTGATATATATTTGATATATCTCTAATTTACCATTGGTATACAGATGATATACTACTAATATAACTTATTATATAGGATTATATGATTTACCACTAATATAACACTGATATATATTTGATATATACTTAATATGCTTCTAATTTACCACTGGAATACCTCTGATATGACCATGATATCTACTAATATAATTATGATACATGTGTGTTGATATAATACTATTATATCTTTTTTTTTTCATATGAAAACAATGGTGCAACAAAAAAAAAATTTAAATATAAAGTTATTGTATAAAAGGTTTATGTGGATCATGCACGTCAAAAAAAAAAAAAGAAATCTGATATACTTTATAAATTCAAACCGTTGATATCCTTATATTTAGTATTTAATTAATATTAATATAGAATAACTGATAGTGATATGGTAATCAACATTATTAATAATAATAGTATATCAATCAATAAATTGCAATGGTAAACTAGAATTTAAACAGTTAATATACCACTAAAAATTAAACATTTGATATACCTTATATTTAATATATCAATTGCAAATATATTTAATATATCGTAAATTAGAGGTACATCATATAACACATACATCTGATAATGTATATCAGAGGTACGTCGGATATATATCGGAAGTATATCAGAGGTACATCGGATGTATATCAGATATCATAAGGTAAAATTGGAATAATAAAAATTCTGAAAAAAAAATTCAAATATTTTGCTATATTTGAAATTTTGAAAAGCCGGTGACATTTTTTGAAACTAGTTAATATCATGTGCATTGCACGTGGTTTTAAATATTTTAATATAATGTCTCTAAAATTTATATTTAATCTAAACTGAATTTTTAAATGGTATTAATATTTAGTTTTTCAAATAAAATATATTAGTATTCGTTGATATTTTATTTAAAAAATACGGTATTAAAAAGGGCGAATATCACCAAAAACCTGATACCCTATCATCTTCTCGAATGAAAACGAACAAAAATCGAAGATCCAACTAATTTCACAAAAGAAATTCAACAAGGACCTGATCAGATCATATAAAATGTAAGTCYTAAATCATTTGAATACTTTAACTTATTTTCTAAAAACCTTTAGGTTTATTATTCAAACAAAACGTTTCATACTAATTATTTACGAATTTATATTCGACATTTTTTTACTATTCATATTATATTTATAAATTTTAATAGATTAACTTTCATTGTCGTTCAAAACTTCGTATAAAATGTTATTAACTTCAATTTTTTTTTTTAAATAATGTTCTTGATGATTTTTTTTCCTTTCCAATATGTCGTCATACTAGAAATTTTTGCATACTATGCATATGATTTTTTTTTTCTAAAATTTGTAATGATACAATTTTATGGTATTATTAACTTTTTTTTTTCAAATTTGTTTAATGTCTTACTTTGAATATATTATGAATAATATATCGTTAAAACTTTTGAAGTTTTATAGGAAACAATAATAAGAAGCAAATTCATAGAAAATAAAAATAAAAATAATAGACAAATTTTTTTCATAAACTAAAAAATTGACAGAATTTTAAAATTTAATTTTTAGAATCTTTGGAGAGAAACATTTGTTTCGTGTCATACTTTATTGATAAAATATTATAAGTGAAATATACGTTACAATTTTAAAATATAACTTAATATATGTTTTATAAAAATAAGAACAAATTCATAAAAAGAAAATAGCATTTTTTTTTAAACTAAAGGTTTTACATATTCTTAAACATAGAATGCAAGAAATTTATAGAATAAAAAAAAATAGAATGATCCTACTCCATAACTACTCCATGATTCACACATTATTTAACCGTGAAAAACTATTTTTTTAATGGATGAAGAAAAAGCATTATTGTATAATATCAACATATTTTTGAGTTGTCTATATATGTTTTACTCTTAATTAATTCAAATTTTTGACCTGTATACATTTTTGTGTTAGGAAAAAAATCACACCTTTMGATTGTAAAAAAAATCAATAATTATATTAAATAATTACTTAATCTAAAATAACTGTATTATTTCCTTACTTTTATTTATTTACTATGTAATAATAGTCTAATTATTATGTAATTATTTTTATCAATTTTTTTAAGAATTCTTAGTTTTATATATATATATATATATATATATATATATATATATATATATATATATATTCATTCGAAACGTAAAATTTCACCACAAAAATATTATGTTTCAAAAGTTTAAAAATTCAAAACCACGTGCATTATACGTAAATCTAACTAGTATTATTAAAACATGTATGAATATACTATTTGCATCTTTGGAAACAGTGCAATTATTGTCATTTTTTTCCTTATATAACATTCAAATATAACATCAATGTTCGATTAAATAACAAGTCGAGTCCAATTTTGTCTAGAACATATATAAACTTTCAATTTTATGTCTAATAAATCATTTAAAAAAATGTTACTATGTCTCTAAGACAATAAACTTTTACTTTTATGTCTAACATACCCCTCAAATTTAAAACATGTATAATAATAAGTCAAGATTTATTCAACACAACGTTGAAAGTTTATGGATGTGTTGACATTTTTCAAATTAACGAACTTGTTAGATACAATTTTAAAAGTTCAACGGTCAAATTTGTAACCTAACATTTTAATCAATATAACTATATATATAATTTTTTTTCTTTCTCTTAACTAAATATTACTTCTTATTTGATCAACATTTTGATACATGTGCTAGATTTGAAATTATACATCCATTAGCAAATAGTGCAAATATTATATAATTAAAGATTTAGATAATTTTTATTTAAATTGAAGGGAAGGTAGTTGGTTTGGGTTGTTGGAAGAAGCCAACACCTAGATATAGCTCTAATCCAATATTTATATAACATTTATTTATATTTAAGTGAACTCGTTCCTATAAAAACTTATTTTCATAAGATTATTTCAGACATTTTTCAATTCAAAATTATATTTCCGTATACATACTTCCATGTTTCAGTTTCAGTTTCATATTTATATTTTTAATTTTGGTTTATAATGGTAGAAATTAAGATGGATTTTAAAAATTTATATACACCTTGTAAAACTCAAAAAATTATATCATATATCTAACAACATTATCAATTTAATCTCTTCATTTTTATTTTCAACGCAAGTAAAGTATCTTAAAATCTAATATAAATTCATATTTTTCTAAATAATGTTTTCAATATTACTCAGCCATATCAAAGAAGGATAAATTATTTGAGAGATAATGAATACAATTTGCTTTGTACCTTGAGTCCAGTTCGCTTTGATTTATTTTATTTACTATATTTTTACAATATTTATTTTGGTTCCTATACTTTTAAAAAAGTGATCATATTGGTCTCTTATTATGTTTTTTTTATCACAATTTCAATATATTTAGTGTAACCATGACTTTATGTGTAGAACGCGACCCCTCGATACCGAAGGCATCCTTGGGGTGATCTCGTAGTTCCTACGGGGTGGAGACGATGGGTCGGTCCATTTGTGTTAAAATTTAAAAAATAGAGATCAAAATGGTCACTTATTTTTAATAAAAAAGTGAGGTGGGGAGTTCAAATTCATGACATTTTAATCATAAATAGGTGTCATTTACCGCTGAGCTCATATTGATCCTCAGAATAATCACTCAAACAAGTAGAGACCAAAACAAACACTTAAAATATAAATACTAAAATAAAAATAAAAATAAAAAGATCATAATAGTATTTTAATCTCGAGTTAAATATTACTTGTGAATTAGGAGAATTTTTTTAATTTTTTTTTAGTTGGGGGTAGGTATTTTAGGAAGAGTAGAACCAGAAAAGAAGGAGAAGGGCCCATTTGAGGTTGGTGAAGATTGAGAATTGTGCCATATGCCATTGCCACCCATCACTCACTGCACCCACACCCAATTCTTCTCTTCTTCCTATAAATTTCTCGCCATTTCCCTCCTCCTAGATCTGAATCTCGCTCTCTCATAACTCCTTTCCCCTCTCTCTATACCTTCACTTGCATCCATGGCGTACGAGAGGATCCTCTTGGGTATGGGCAACCCTCTTCTCGACATCTCAGCCGTCGTCGACGATGATTTCCTGCACAGGTATTTCCCCATTGTTTCTCGCTTCTTTTATTGCCCTTTCCTCTGATACAAAACCCAGATCGCTATGCTATTTTTTATTGCATCTAATTACGCGTATGCTCTGTTATCGTTTGATTTCGTTGGTTTTAGCGATCAAGATATTAATGCATGAGCAGAGGTTTTGTAGATCGTAACTTTTCGGCTGCTGGGATTTCACTTTTTCTTTTTTTTTTTTAATTGTACTTTGATTCGTTAAATTACTCGTTTCGTGCAGATACGACATCAAGCTGAACAATGCTATCCTCGCCGAGGATAAACATCTTCCAATGTAAGGGATCGGTATTCAATTCTCTGAATGATATCTTCTCCGTCGTCTTAGTTTTATTTTCTTGTTTAATTGGTTGGTGGGTGATAATAGTCATAGCTACCACTACTTGCTACCCTTATATTTCGCGAACCTTATTCTTTTTAAGACAACGTGTTTTTATTGTTTCAAATTACATCCTTGTTGTTAGGCCTTGAGAGAATCATTCGTAGTTAGCGACAATGTCTTTTATGGGTTTGCTTGAAAATCAAGTTTCTCATTACAGTTTAGTTGATTTGACTTAAATGAATAAGGGAATATTGGAAGATTAGTGCTGTTAGAATGAGATCAACTAATATTGATATTACTTGAAAATCGAGGTTACTGTTTAATGGATTCCTTTGTTGTTCTGATCAAAAAGTTAATGGATTTGATATCATATCCTATGTCTTGTTCAGTTTGAGGCTATTTACTTGATGAAATTTTCAACACGAATCTTATGTCAAAATTGAATCAAACTACAGGACTAGTTGTAAAAACGACTGGAGAACAGAAAGAAGCTGATAATAGCTTTGTTACAAAAAAACTTAGCACACGTGGCTTATCTAATGGTTGTGGATTGTGGTTTATTCATTTAGTAGAAAAGAAGCGAGAACAAACTCAATTTTGGCAATAAAAGTATACTGATATCGTCAAAATTTTACCAAGCCTCGGGAATATTTGAAGTTTAGAAGCACTAGTTTGTCTGTCTTAGATTGTGTGTACGCATCTGACACATGATGCGTTACAATTAGATTGTTATAATTTTTTATTTTATTTTCATTTTTGGAAATGCTTTGGAATGTTGTGGTCATACTCTGACCCATATTTTCACATATTTTCTGATGTGAGCCTTTCTTTTTTTGCAATAGTTAATCAATTGAAGTATTGATCTCTTTGTGCATATTTTTTTTGTAGGTATGATGAATTGGCAAAAAAGCCTAATGTGGAGTACATTGCTGGAGGTGACGTATGGATAATTGAATCTATTTGTGTTATTATGGTTTTGGAACATTTGTGAATTTCGTGTACTTTTATTAAGTGCAGGTGCTACACAAAACTCAATTAAAGTGGCTCAGGTACACTAATTTTGTTCCCTGGTGATTATACACATATTCCTCAAAGTTTTATTTGCCGCTGTTGGATGAACCTTTTCTTTCCTTATTTAGTGGATGCTTCAACATCCCGGAGCAACAAGCTATATGGGTTGCATTGGAAAAGACAAGTTCGGGGAGGAGATGAAGAAAAACTCAAAAAGTGCTGGTGTTAATGTAAGTTCCACATCCTATCGCTATCTTCCCACTGTCGTGGTAATTTTATGTTTCAAATTTGCATTATTAAGATCTTATTTGCTCTTTTTGTATTTGACAAATTAGGTTCAATATTATGAGGTTGAATCTACACCAACAGGAACCTGTGCTGTTTGTGTGGTGGGTGGTGAAAGGTTAGTTAAAATTTTGGTTGCTTTGATAACCATTACATTAAGTCAAACACACAAAGTTCGCTCCCATCATGGTAAAAATTGGTTCTTTCTCAGATTGTTACTTATATAAATCATTAATTTGATCAGTAACCATGCGTTTCATATTTTGGTTAGACATCTAACAGGAGTCTGTTTTTGTGACATACAGATCACTTGTTGCCAACTTGTCAGCTGCAAATTGCTACAAGTCAGACCATTTGAAGAAACCTGAAAATTGGGCATTAGGTAAACACAGAACTCTTATTTATGGCTTTTAGAGGGCTGTTCGGAGGTTATTCTTAAAAATCATTTTCTGTTTTTTATAACTAAAAAACTTAATGAAAACATGTTTGGCTAACTGTTATTTAGAGTTTCCTTGGAAAAAAAACTGTTATTTAAAATCTCTTTTCCCTTGTTTCTCCTTAATTTGTTCTCATGGTGGCCTATTTTTTAGAATAAGTGGTTATCTCTATGAAAATCTTGGACTAATGAATAATTTCTGTACAGTAACCTTATACATTTTCAAGTTTCTCAATCATAGTTCTCCTAAAAACAAACTGTTCCGCTGAACAAGCTACCAAAACAACCCAAGTTTTTCTTGAAATGTTTTGGAGACTGTGGATAGGACAGGTGTGCATTCTTATGTGCTAACTTGATCATGATTTTCCATGAGGATAGTTGAGAAGGCCAAGTATTTCTACATTGCCGGGTTTTTTCTCACTGTATCGCCAGACTCGGTACAGCTTGTAGCTGAACATGCAGCTGCAAATGACAAGGTACACTGGGTGATGTAATCGATATAATTATTGTCTATCAGGGCCTTCTGAACAAGTAACTAACATTGCCAATCATCTTCAGTGTCTCTCCATGAACCTGTCTGCTCCATTTATTTGTGAGTTCTTCAAGGATGCGCTAGAAAAAGTCTTGCCGTAAGTATTAACGTATGACGTTAATATGGTAAAAGTAGGGGAACTTTGACATGTCGACTCAGACATATCTTTTCTTTTTTTATATTTCAGGTATATGGACTTCATTTTTGGTAATGAAACTGAAGCAAGGACGTTCTCAAAAGTTCAGGGCTGGGAGGTAATGGTTTGCTTGATCCCATAAAGACTTGAATAGTGGCTTCCAATTTATGCATAAATAGATTGACGAACTTTTTTATGACCAGACCGATAACGTCGAGGAGATAGCCCTAAGGATTTCACAGTGGCCTAAAGTATCAGAAAAACGCAAGAGGATTGCCATTATTACTCAAGGTCCAGACCCAGTTGTAGTTGCTGAGGATGGAAAAGTGAAGAAGTTCCCAGTAATTTTGTTGCCAAAAGAGAAACTTGTTGACACAAATGGAGCTGGTATGCTCTCTGCCTCCCCCTTAAATTTAATGGAGTTCAGTGAACATAAGCACATCCAAGTTTGTCTGTGTGCGTGTGTGATAGAAACAAATTTTTCAGTTTTATGATAAGTTTAGGTGCATCAACGAACACTTGAAGCATATGCATAAAAACTGGTTGGATTTTAGGATCATATTTTCATCTCGTTTTATTACTGTTTTTCTAGGAGACGCATTCGTCGGAGGATTTCTATCCCAGTTGGTTCAAGGAAAACCCATGGAAGACTGTGTGAGAGCTGGCTGTTATGCATCAAACGTTATAATCCAAAGGTCTGGCTGCACATTCCCTGAGAAGCCCGATTTCAAATGAGCATGTTCTTCTTTCAAGACCTCTCAGCCTCTCTAGCCTACTACTACCAATCACTTTATCTTTATAATTCTCAAAACCGACATTCTCGCTTCTGCTTCGTCTGCCACGCTCGTACGGACGACCAGTGGCTGTCCACTATATCCCCTGTTACCCAGTTACTATAAGAAATGAGATTTTGATTTATAGAGCACCTTACTTTTAAGTATATTGTCCTTACCTTATAGCAAGAATTGTTCCTCTTTTTTTCTTCTTTCCCATGAATTTTCTTGGATTTCCATGCCATGTGGTGGCAATTGGCATTAGAAAACAAGCAATGGGGCAGCAAATTGAGGTCCTCTGCAAAAGCTAGAGCAGGTTTTGGACCCCATGGCTGCCTCTGAGAGACCCACAGCTCACATGCTTTTGCTCTGTTCTTAATAATTAATGATGTGATGTTCTTATCATTCCGACATTTTTGGAGTTTCTTACATTTTCTTTGCCTTATCTAAACACATCTTGTTTGGACGATGTTTCTTCTCTCTTTTGTCTCTTTTTTTTCTTTCTTGGAGCTGAAAAAATAATGCAATTCTCGTCGAATTCTGTTTGGCAACCCTCGAATTGGATCCCATTATTATGGGTTTTGATAATATTTTCGCATTATTTTTTTTTTCTGCGACTTTAAAAGAGTGATGAAGTGTAGAATTTTGTAATGATTTACATGATCCCCAAATTTATTGAACGGTTCGTAATGATCAATGTTAACTGTATAATATGATTTTTCTAAAGTTGTAAATAGCCTTAGTTTTTAAATTTTCAAATTCAAAAATTTGAAAACAATGAAAATATTGTTATCAGAATTTCTAATATTTGGATTACAAGATTGGAAAACACTTAACATGCTGCCTAATTCTAACAAAAATTGGATATAAGAAGTGCTTAATATTAAGGGCGCAAATATATTCCACTCAAATTTCAACTAAATTAATGCCGAACAAGCTGTTGAACGTAGCTTAATTGGTTTAGACATTTATTTTCAAATTATTCTTCTRAAATCACTTTACTTCATTTTACTTTTTATGAAAAATGGACTAAACTAAAGAAAAAGAGAAAGAAACATTCTCGAACAAAAGAATTTTTAAATTAGTTCGAATTGCCACTCCACTCGAAACAATCGTGAGGTTGAAATCAACTAAATTTGTTAAGCCAAACTAGTTGAAATCTATTGTTCAAACAGAAGTAATGAATAGATTTGACCAAAGTTTCAATTATAAGTTGCACTCCCAATTTTTTTGATATCATCAAAGATGGGAATATTTTATTGTCGATCGTCTTTCTATGTTATTAAAATAGTATTATGTTTTGAAAAATGATGCAACAAGAATATTTTGAAATACACCTTCAAATAATTTTCCTTCCCAAAGTTTTGTCATCAATTCAACATGACCTGAGGTGAAAACTGACGTGAGATATTTTATTGCATAATTTCAACTTCTAGACAATGCTCATTAACTATTGAAAAAAAAAAACAAACTATATAAGAAAAAATCATTATATAATAAATATTAAAAAGTAGGGAGAGTAAAATGAAATAAATGGATTAGTCTAAAGAAAAATGGACYATTTTAATTCAATCAAATTCAACTTCAACGTCCAATTAATACATTTTTCAAAATAAAAAAAAAAGAGCGAAATTATACCAATAAACCAACTAAAGTATAGTCAATAAAATATCTAAAATTCAACCACACATATTCTATAACATGATAACCGCAAAAGAAAAAGGGAAAAGAAAAAAAAAGTATCCAGCTTGAAATTAAAATGCAATAATTTATTTATTTATTTATTTTTGTTTTAGTTAGCATGATCGATAATTCAGACTATGAACTTTTGGTTGAATATAGATAACTTAACCAATTGAATAATGTTTCGATGAGTCGTAGAATTTAAATAATTGTTTTATCTTGAGATATGAATAATTAAACATTATCAGGAATTAAAAAAAAAAAAAAGAAACCCAAAACTCAATTAGTGAAGGATGTTAATATTACTATAGCACTCGTTTAAATTTTCAGAATTTAATTTGCTGAAATTGTAATTTAAAAATGAAATGAGGATTTTATTATTTTGTTTTAAAATGAAGAAAAAAAGGCGCGTAGTAAGCACGCGCTCGAAAGGCCTGTGTTGGTTGGCACCATGTTTTGTTTGTGTATCCTATTTGACAATTGAGAATCATAAT